CCCTAAAATAAATAAATAAATTAAGTCCCCCAATTTTAAAGAATGCTTTAAAATGTGCTTTTGAAAAATTAAAGCCACCACTTACTTGTTGAATATCATGAAATTGCTTTCACACTGAAGAATTTTCAAAACAAAACAAAAAACGCCAACAACACAGTTTTATAACCTATGTCCCTCTTTTCTATGAAGTCTATGGACTAGGACACAGAGTTTAACATCGCTTAATTGATGTCATTTAAGGTATTTAATTAAAGAAAAAAAGATGTTCTGCCTAGCTAAGTCTTTCACAATACAACACTGTATCCATATTTTTCCTAATTGATAACATTATGATTTTCAGTATTGAAATTGTGCAGCTGTCATTTCACTATTTCACATATCTGGGATCACTGCTCTGTTCCTGAGGTTTCCTTCATTTTTTCCCTTTAAATGGATTCTGAGGGGAGCTTTTCCCTTATTGAGATTGAGAATCTAAAGATAGAGGATGTTGGATGCTGTACAAACTGTAAAGCCCCTTAAGGCAAATGTGAATACAGAGAATAACATTTATGACAATGCTAAACCAGGAAAGAAAAACTATTGCGTCACTGTACCAACAGGAACTTAAAAAAATACAACAAACAATATATTTATAGTTTTGCAATTTTATTCATCAAGCGTCAGGTCATGCATACAATCTGGCAGGTGTAAGAAAACTAACAATGTGGAGGAAATTACAAAAGAAAACAGAAATTTAGAGCGTGTGTGTAGAGAAAAAAAAAGATCTGTCAGAATCAGATGAAGACCTGCAATCGGTTATTTTGAACGATCATCAAACTGCCTGAACAGAGAGGCTGCCATGTCAGATGTCGCTAATATGTGGTAGCGTTTAGTAAGAGCTTTCCCAGGCACTTCAGATAAAAGGCAAGACCCACTAAATCAATTCGCTATGAGGGACACATGAACACGCTGCTGCTTCCTAGGCTTTTACATCCTGCCCATTCACTTGCTTAATCCATCTTTTTTTTCCCATCTCTCCACTCATCTTCTCATATTGCACTTATCACTGTCCATATCTAATATCTATATCCACATTCTCAATCCATTCATCTATTAAAACAAGGCGTTGTTTTACACAGAACTTGTTTCACATTCAAGTCCAGCGACCAACTTGTTTCATCATTAATGTGTACGTCATGTTTTTACCTTCGCTCTAACAATTCTGGTCATTTTATCCTTTAGAACTTAAAGCAGACCTATCATGCTTTTCCTTTTTGTTATGCATATGCCACTGTGCTAATGCCAAAACTTATAATAATGAGGTCACTGTTTTTGCAATTCATGTGAGCCAAAAACTCAGTTTTATACATGTCAGAGCCCACATATTCCTTATGTGGTTGACTTGGACACAGATATCTCTGTAAGCACAGTAGCCCCACCAACCTGCGGTTCAAGTCTTTTGTTTGCAGTGGGCAGCTAATGTGGCTTCAAGGGAAGGTCTGCACAAAGGTCACACATTAAAAAAAGGTGTGAATCATGTAAAGCTACTTTAGCAGAGACCAAGACTAAAAAATATGAATTTGGAAATTTGCATAATAGGTCCTCTTTAATAAATTTGAATTCCCCTGTAGTATTTAAACCTCAATTTCTCAGATGCTTATGACCACTTGAACTCTAAATAAAACCCTGTGTCCATCATGTGAATCAAAACAGACCACATTAGTGTTTTACGGCCAACTGAGCTCCATAAAGCTACTCCTGCACATGCTCACACATTAGAAATGAATGAAATGGTAGCATTAAGAGACAGCTGCAGTTCTTTTAAGTGCTGGTGTGCTGTTGTAGGAACGATAACGTAAGCGAGAAAGATATACGGTCAGTGACAGCAATGTGTGCCATGGTGGGGACCTTTTTTTTTTTTTTTTTTTTTTTTTTAAAGGTCTGGGAGTCAGACTCCAACTTTTTGTGGAATCATGTTTATCGCAGTAGATGTCACATAAAGGATATGTTCAGTCTGAAAAACTGGGGCTGCTTTATCCATATATTATTTTGGAGACAGCAGAATTCTTGTGGAAGAACTTATAAAGGGAGTATAGTGTAATTTAACAGAGCTTTAGCACCTCTCTGTCGTTGATATTTGCAAACCCTGCCACATTTTTCCTTGTCAACACAGGCGCTCCTAAGTTTCTATGTTCTTTCTTCCATACACTAGTGAAATCATGTCTAGAGAAGAATGCACTTGGAGGATTTTTTCTCTGTGCTGCTGGTGATTTTCACCTGTTGACCTCCGGGGCCCTGACAAACAAACAGACGAAAAAATTACGTTACCGTCATACAGTATGTAGAGCATGCAAAATTACTTTTTATAGCGCTGCATTCCTGATCTTGTGTTTTGACTTACTGGCTTCTTGCTGGATTGTTGTAGTATGTCTCGTGCCAAAGCCAGAAAAGACTGCAGGACAGATAGATTGAAACACAGAAAGAGAGAAAATATAGGTCTGTTGCATATTAACACACAACAAACATTAACAAAAAGGCTATAATAAAACAAGCTCAATGCATGGAGAAACTGCTCACCTCCTCGACATTAATGCTGGACTTCGCACTGGTCTCAAAGAACCTGATGCCGTGATCTTTGGCCAGCTGTTAACATTAGGAACAGAGATGGTTACAGGAGGACAGGATATGGGTAATAATCACTTCCTGGGTTTTATCTCGAGTAAATTTAGCAACTTTGACCATTTCCCAAGCATTCCTGTCCGCTAAAGTTTAACAAGGAGGAATCCATGCAATATTCTTTCTCAAAATAAAATCTTTGCAAAGTAGCCCCACAAATGATTAATTTTCAATCCATCTACTCATATGTATCTTACCCTGGATGATAGTTTAACTACCATCAAAGTAAACCTACACCTCTGCTGTTTCATTACAAGTAAAAAAAAAACGCAAGCGACATCTTACCTTTTCTCCTGTCTCCTTGGAAACTTTCCGCTTTGTCTCAATATCACACTTATTACCTAGTAACATCCGACTGACCCCAGCTGATGCATTCTGGGAAAGAGGGAATGTGATTAACTGATCAAAATGACTTCAACAAAGTGAAAGAGAGCACAGAGAGCAAAAACCTCAACAGAGACACTAATAGCAGCTGTTTGTCAGCAGAGCGGTTTCTCCCTTTAAACCAAGACCATTTCCCTGAAATGCTCCATTGCCATCTTTCCGCAGTTCGTCAGTGCTGCCGTCTACAGTTTGTTTACAGGCAAAACAAGCAAAACAAATCTCTCAGAGTCGCTGACAACTTGCGGGCCACAAATACATGAAATCATAACAGTTGCTTTATGAAAATGTGACTGAATCATTCATATGTTTAACAGCTGTGAACAGACTGAAAACAGCTATAAAAGCGATTTTCAGTTCAGCTCAGTTGTGATGCTTACATGAAAGTGTTTAAAAAAAACAAAAAGAAAATGAAGAAGGTAAGCAAGTGCCATGTATATCTGTAAACAATGACACTGGTTATGCATTTATAGCTATAATATGTTCTTAATTTTACTTGATGTAAAGATATTGAACACCACGTGTTTGCATATTGTCTGTTTAATTGGAATATTAAAATGGGCAGCATTCACTTATTGAAAAAGCTTCTTATAGTTTTGTAATTAGTCTCATTAGGTTTTATTTTTATTTCATTTTGAGGTTTTGCTTCTAAATCAGTTTAGTTTCTGTCGGTTTGCCCATTTCAGTTCATTTTTTATTTATGGAAAAGTTTCTATTCATTTCAGTTTTACTTTTAGTCTTTGTTATTATTCCTGTGTGTGGAGGGCATATGCCAGTGTCAATAAACACATCTGTCAAAGCCTCTCAAGGCAAGTTTTTATATCTTTTTTTAACCAAAGTAACACTCAAGTTCACAAAATCATTTGTTAGCTTTAGCTTGTTTCAAAAGTCTAGTTTTTATTTTATTTTAGTTAATTGATTTTTTTAACATCTAGTTTTAGTTCAGTTTTAATAATCTTGCTTCCTGCATTATCTTTAGTTTTTCTTGAATATCTGAGCAACATTAAAAATCCAACTAAGAGTTCCCGGGTGCGGTGCCTATCCCCAGCTGCCACTGGGTGGGCAGAGGTCCAGCATGGGGCTAACAAAAACACATATACACATGCTTGGTCAAATCTACACCTATGTCCAATTAACAACCATCGGTCAACCTTATTTCAAAGGACCAGAAATCTGTGGACTGTGGGAGAAAGCTGGAGCCACAGGGAGAAGATGTAAACTCCACACAGAAAGGTCCCAGTCGACCAGGAGGTTCAAAGCACCTTCTTGCTGTGAGACAACAGCGGTAACTTTCCTTTCATGTTATGCCCTTGTTAGCGTGGCTGCTAGCTGCTAGCCAGGTCTTTAGAAAGTTGTACATTTATCTGAGGTCTCCCACACAGCGTGACACCTAGCCAACATGCGAGTAGAAAACCTCTTCAGTCCTTAATCAACTAAAAGTTTTACTTTGGTTGAAAAACATCATTAACAAAGTGAGCACAAGAGGCCATGCTGGATAGTTTTATGCTGGTTTATGAACAAGGAAGGTTATCCTGAGAACAATCCACATACATAATGGTGTAGAGATTACTGTTTCCTCAGTAGAAGATACAGGAATTTTGCTTCTTTGATTTAAATGAACTGACCAGATAAACTCATTAGCTTTGCAGTCTTGGTCTTTCCTAGTTATCTTTGTCATGGCTAATAGAAAACCGGCTTACTTCTCTGATGCTCTTCATCCAGTTCTGAATGTTTTCAAAGGACTTCTCGTCAGTGATGTCGTACACCAGGATGATGCCCTGATGAACAGAGAACAGACAGGAGAGAGAGCATTTACGGAGTCAGTCAAAGGTGCAGACTGAGCACAAAGAGGCAGTGATGTCAGCCTGATTATCCAGGCCTGATTGTCCTGGAGGCATACTGCGCTCACCATGGCTCCTCTGTAGTAGGCTGTTGTAATGGTCTTGAATCTCTCTTGCCCTGCTGTGTCCCTAGAAAAAGCACACACTTAGAATCAAAAAGGTGCTGCAAGGTCTTTAAAATACTTCTATCATATGAAAAAAACCTGGAGTATAGCAGAATGCAGAAAGATTCATTTGAGGTGAGACACTACAGGCTACAAGCTACAGGGTAAGTTTGCACTAACAGATACATTTTCCCACTAAAATACTTCCACTAAGAATTTTTTTTTTTTGCATCACAGGTTTTCTGAAACTATGTGTTAATATCAAAATGTATAAATTTAAACTTTTTTGCAAACTTTTACAGGTGAGAAATGTAAACATTCGATGAAGCCAGGATCAAAGTTCTTGTTTGTGTTTTGCTGGCATCCCAGAGCCGACGGTTTTTATAGAGGGGATTTTGGATCTCTCATTTTTTGTACTCCATAAATCAGAAAGATCTGTCAACAGTCATAAAAGGTTTATTTTCACCATGTATTCAGAAAAAAACTTCCATAAATTTGGTTCTGAATTATATATGAGCAAACCTCTCTTTAAAACAAAAAGAAAAACAGCAGAATAAAGAGAATCGCTCAGCAATGATTGGTGTCTGTAGGTGCTGCTGAAAAGGAGAGTTTAGGCTCTAAAATGAGGGGAAAAAAAATCATTTTTGAGAAACTGTTTTGTAAAAATCCATACGTTTCTTTGCTGTAATTGTAGACAGATTACCTGCATGCATTAAGAGGAATTTATAGCAAGATTAAACACATTTACGTTTGTATTTCAAATACTTCCTTTATATTGATGTGAAAGAAGGAATCAAAACAGGCCAAATCTGACCAAAAAACCAACAAAAAATAAACGTGTTTTTGTCTGTGCTGGTATTTGACGCTGCTATATCTTCTCTAGCAGCACCCTTAAATGACATGGAGTAGCTCTCTGTGGTGGCCTGTGTGATGGACTTGGACATGAACCCTGTCATAAAATCCTGATTTGGACAAGAAGAGGGAGGTTCCTCCTTCCTCTCAGGAAAACGAGCCGGAGGCAGTCAGAGGGCAGAGAAAGATAACTCAACAAATCAGGGTTTATCTGCCTCACCATATCACAAACCGTTTGCAGACAAACAACCGCATGCCACTTCTTACCAGACTTGCAGTTTCACTTTCTTTCCACCCACTTCAATGGTTTTTACTTTAAAGTCGATTCCTGGGAGACAACAAGGGGG